TTAGGGTTTAGGGTGTAGGGTGCCCTGGCGGTTCGGAGTGCTGAGAGCTGAAGAAGCCGATGTCAGGTGTGGAAGTTTCGGAAGTTTGGGTGGGGCATGCCATCGTGGAGTCTGCCGACAAGTTTGGAGACTCATTGCAGGCGGACAAGTCGGGTTGTTGCTGTTCGTTCTGACTTCTTCAGCCTTTGTGCCAAGCCCGTTTTCTGCCGAGAAAGTTGTCCGGCGACAGGTTCGCTTCTACCTTTGCGAGGCTTGTTGCAGCATGCGGCAAGTGACTCAAGTGCCAAGTGCTGCAGCTGCATCAGGGTCGTCCGGCCTGTCGGAGGTATCCAGCACGCTGGGCCTGCCCCAGGAGCTCCGAAGCAAAGAGCCCACGCCAGGCAGGTCGTTTCTGAAGTAGATACCAGTAGGATGATGGGATGCTGCCCGGATGAGTAGCAAGGGCCACCTGCAGAGTCTCCTCCGCTCTGCTTCTGTTCTTTTGGCTCGGGACTGAACCAAAGGATGAATATCAAGTTCAATCTGAGTGCTTACGTTAAGCAACCAACATGTGCACACACACACACACACAGAGGCACAAGCACACACAGCACTCAAAGTTGTCCGTCACCAGTTGCCGCGACGTTCTGAAAGACCTGACCTAAGAGTGGGTTGTTGGCGCTCTTGAGCCACAATGACATTGCTCAAGTTGCAGACCTGTCTGCTCGCCTTAGCATCTGCGGGCAAGAAGCTTTTCGACATTGACCTCGCTACGCTCACAAAGCCTCCGCTTTGGGAGCCGACGCTGGAAGAGTACTTCCCTGGGCAGCGTGGAGAGCGGGACGAAACGGGCCTTCCAAAGCCGGTAGTCCTCACCAAGCCAACTCGAGAAGAGTTCCTTTTCCACGCCCGCCGTGGCTACCCCATCATCGTTTCTGATTGGGCCGACGGGATGGCGTATGCCGGGTGGACTTGCAAGGATTTTGCAGAGAAATTCCCTTTTGGCTACATGAAGGCCGAGTACATACATGACCTTCCTGGGTTTGATCGCAAGAAACACGATACAAAGGTGATCGATGGTGAATTGCGGTTCAAGCTGGGCTCCTTCAAGCCAGACGGAAAGACCTGGTGGCATAATTACTCCAGACCTGCTTCGAAGAAGTACGCGGACGACCCCTTAAAGCCCAAGCGTGGGCCTTACGTGTGGCACGTAAAGGATGAGCTCTCAGCGAAGGAGAAGCGGATTGTGCAACAGCGCTTCGAAGCACCTCCCTTCCTGCAGGATCCCCTGAACAAAGCAAAGATGAATCGGAGCTTTGAGGTCTGGTTCTCTCCAGGAGGGCACTGCGGCGCGGGAGCCCATGCCGATGGCTACTGCGAGTCCGTGGTCTCTTTGCAGCTAAGAGGGGACAAAAGATGGCGCAAGATGATGTTGCCCAAGATGTCCTTTCTGGACTCCTTTGATGAGTTTGACGGCGGAGTCTACGAGGCCGGAAAGTGGGAGCCCGACCTGGGATTCTTAAACCAGGAGAAGGCTGCAGTGATTTGGCCTCCGGGCTACTTGCATGAGACATCTACGCTGCCACCAAAGGACGGGGAGTGCGGCTCCGCCCTGACGCTCCAGTACGCTTTCCCGCAGCCGGTTCAATTCCTCAGGGCTTTTCTGCCAAGGCTCTCCTTGTCCGCTGAAGTGGGGCAGTGCGTAGCCATGGCTTGGTCAGGGTACGTCACGTTTGAGGTTGGCGGAATCTCGCCCAGCAGTAAATCCAAGAAGATGGAGGAGCAACTCCAAAAGATCATGCAGCTGGTTGACACAGACGCAGATGGAGAGATCACCGTTCAGGAGACAGTTGCTTGGTTCGGGCATCGGGACTCTCTGGCCTTGAAGCGGCTCCCTGATCCGGAGTTCATGAAGCACAAGGTCCGTCGGGCAGGGTATGTTCATGGTCGCAGATAGGCAGATTGCAGACAGCCTGAGCTACGGGGTGTGTCGAAGCCTTTCAGGAGCTCGTGATCAATTTCAAAGCAGAGGACACAGTTGCATACCACGACATGAACGATGACATGAAGGTATCGCGCCAGGACCACGGCTCGAACCATTGTGTTCGCATTTTCGCTCGTGAATGATGTTGGACTCGCTGAGTACGTACATCTGGAGGAGCTGTGGGATTCGTTGGTGCAGTGGAATGTTGTTCGGGTTGGACGCCTAGTGCTGAATGAGCAATGATTCCACATTGGCCCGTGCCTGTCGTGTCAGGTTCGGGTCACCGAGGGCTTGAAGTTCTTGAACCAAGCAGATCGCAAGGGATTGGAGGCCACCTGCCAGCATCAGGGACTTAGTTTTGGGGGGGTTCCATATTATGATCATAGTATCATAGAACCCCCAAGAATAATAGACCACCAAGGTTCCCTTTTATAATCATAGTATACTAGACCCCCCCAAACCTACTCTAACTAAAAGACTTCCACACCCTTCATCAGCAGGCACTGGAGCGGTCGCTGGACTACCTGCGCAGGGAGCCCATCGGGCTCCCGAAGTCCGTGAGGCTTCTTTTAGGGTTTAGGGTTTAGGGTTTAGGGTTTAGGGCTGACGGTGAACTGCTGGAGAACCGTGCTCTTGATGACTTGTTGCCCCCGTGACGTAACTAGACCTTAAACCCTAAACCCTAAACCTTATAAACCCCTAAACCCTAAACCCATAAACCCTAAACCCATAAACCCTAAACCCCTAAACCCTAAACCCATAAACCCTAAACCCCATAAACCCAGAGTGCAGGCCAGAGATGGAGGAGCGACCCAGCTGTTGCCTTCTTTGGACAATTTGGCAGCGCCTGTGCTTGGGTTGCAGTTGCGTTGGGAGCAGCGTCTGTGGTGTGCCGTTCTTTGTAGGACATCTTCCGCCTGGGCAAGGCGCGCAGTGCATGTTGGAGCTTGCGGAGCATCATCTGGGAGATGGTTCGAAGCTGGTGGTAGTAGTGAGTAGTGTGCCACTGACCTTGGCCTTCCTCTGCTGTCAGGGCACCAAGATCCTTCCGTCGTCGTCGTTGAAGCGCGTCCATTCCATCTCTGACTCTGAGTTCTGGAGCACGGCACGGGACGCCGTGGAGGACCTGCAAAGAGGTAACGATGAGCGTCTACTGAGTCTACCCTAAACCCTAAACCCTAAACCCTAAACCCTAAACCCTAAACCCTAAACCCTAAACCCTAAATACTACCTCTGCGACTTTCCTGCTTCGTGTCTCGAGGAGATCAGGTCTCGAAGAGGAGAGCTTTGACATGCGCAGAGAAAACAGCTCCGAAGATGCCAAAGGGTTTGGGTTTTAGGGTTTAGGGTTTAGGGTTTAGGGTTTAGGGTTTAGGCTTTAGGGTTTAGGGCTTTTTGAGCTTTGGCCCCATGTCTCCAGTGAGAGCTGTTGCCCAACGACAGGTCTGCGGCACTGGCACGTGGCTCAAGCTGCCAGGTGGTAACGCTACCAATGCTGGACTGCTAGCAGGCCATAGCTACAGAGGCTCCAATGGCATGAAGTCGGCGATCACCGCAGGCACGGGTGTGACATGCTTCCTTTGCACTGGTATTGACTCTTTCCGTCTCCAGTAGGTCTTTCAAATGCGGATCGATTCCTCTGGGCCTGCCGATCACCCAGAGAGCTACACTCCATGCACACTGATTGTTCTGGTGCAGCGCCGCTGAGCCCAAGACTCGAATCCCTTCCCCAATCCTCGGTATCTGGCGACTTTGACCGTCATCGACACGCACACACAAACAGGTCTTCGCTGCGTTCAAGAAGTGTTTCAGGCCGATCATAATCACGGCAAGCCCAACGAGACGGCCTAACGAGACGGCCTGCACCGCATTCCCTGTCAGGTAGCAAACGCCAGAATCCAAACTGTGTGTGAGCGCACTGAACCGTCGCATTGATCTTCACCCATGCATGTGCCCTGTCAGCACCTGCTTTGTAGAATTACAAGCCTCAGACAAAACGCTCGCCACCTTCCCCTTCTCCTGACTTCTCATCAACTCCCTAAACCCTAAACCCTAAACTCCTCCCCGTGCTGAGGCCCTTCAGGCAGCTCAAAGACCTGCAACTCCAAGCGTTGGAAGCTGCCTGGTGACCCCAGCCGCTTGCAGCCGCATTTGGGACTTTCCGAAAATTAGGGGGTACCTTATTTTGGGGTCCTTGTAGTACGGATCCTACTATTTAGGGTACTATATTAGGGTCCCCTATTTGCCCTCATTTGAGTACGCTCCTTTGTCTTGCTGCCACGCCCAGGCCCGGAGAGCATTTCGACATTGAACGAGTGGTGCCAAGCAGCTCTGTTGCAACGGCTATGTGGGTAGTTCTCCACATTGGGGTCCCGTTTAGGCTCCCTTTTTATAAGGGTGCCGTACTATATTGGGGGCCTAAAACGGGACCCTAGTTCAGAGAACTACCCATGTGAAGCAGACTAGGTCCTTATCTGGAGCAGCAGTGGAATGCAATCATATCACAGAACTCAAGATGATGGAATAGAGCATAGCACTGTATCGCATTGTGCATAAACGGATTCTGTACCGCGTGTGTTTGAACATGGGCTGCCAATGCCGGCACAGTGCATCCGGAGGTGGCGCTCTAGGAAAACCCTATTCTGATCCCTTGTACCCCAAGCCCCTAAACCCTAAACCTTATGTCCCTAAACCCTAGAACCCTCTCATCTCCAGCAAGCCAGCAAGCCATATCCACGCTCCACGTCCCAGTATTCCGTGCAGTTCTTCAAGGCCCCGGAGCCCTTTCCTCCTTCCGCATACGTTAGTTTTTTTGTTTCTGCACTTCCAACTTTCTCCCCCAAGCCCTGTCCACCCTTCACGTTACGTTGTTGATGTGTCATTTCGCAAAGAAGGTGCCAACACCCAAATACCCTCGCATCAAACTTAGCATGACAACAATTGATCCAAAAAACTGCTATGGCAAGGCTTGCCTTCGAATGTTCGAAATTTGGGATTTCTTTAGTAACTGTAGGCTTGGGTTTAAGGTCTAGGGTTTTTAGGGTTTAGGGTTTGGGTTTGTCGGTTGGGACGAAGGAAGCTCCACGACTTTTGCATTTGCTTTCTGCTCTTGGGATTTCTGCCGTGTCCCGAACTCATGCTGCGCCGCAGCCCGCCATAAACAGGTGTTTGTGTAGGAGAAGCCCGAGCACAGTGTATGTCCGTTTTTGTATATATATATATATAATATTGAACTTATATATGACTAGTGCCAAAAAATATATATGTAGATAGAGAGAGAGAGAGAGAGATATATATATATATATATACACACGTATATATATATATATAGATGGTGTGAGTGTGCTGAAGAAGAGACGGTTCGAGTGAGAGCACAAGTATAGGTTGTCGTCTTCTGCCCTCAATCAGGCAATGTCC